GAGTTAAATGCTCTTTCGTAGTGAAAAGCTGTTCTAATGGGCCACTTAGCGTTGAGTTGGTAGTAAGCAAGCCTTCCTCCTATAATTAACTAGCGCTTTAGCTTTCTCGAGTCGATCTGTTTCATGGTGGGGGCAAACAAACAATCATCCAGGGTATCTATTGGTGATGAACAACAGAAAAGTGGGAGACTAGGGGTATCTTTATACAGTTGTTCGGAATTTAGGAAAAGGCCGTGTAAGAAGATGAAATAAAATCAGCTGATGCACCTCAACCAGTCCAGAGAGTACACCGCATCCGGTTATCTACTATATTTTCGGTTGATGATAAAAAGAACCAGCAAATTGTTACTACTTCTGACTACAGTAGTAAATTCCTCGACATCGTTAAAGGTAGGTCTGCCAGGCGAAACACCCAGGTTTAAGTGTGGCAAGTTGATTCTACTAATTTGGCAGTGAAATGGGAAACAATATTTCAGGAAATTGATAGAAATACCACGATATGTTGACAGTCGTTGCTTGGCAAGTGGTCAACTGAAGGAGGTTCGTTAAGAAGTGCGTGGCTGGTCGGTGAACTTTATAATTGCAGGTGAAGAAAGAGGGAAGGTTTCACTTAGACACACCTGCCTCCCACGAAAAACTCGGCTGTAGCCAACTGCCCACCTTCTTATCGAAAATTCCAAAATGCAAAAAGTCAAGAAGACGTTGAAGGTCAGTAAACGCCTCTGTCGACAATAAGAGCCAAGGAAAGTGATGGGGGCAAAAAGCATGCACGCATATCACCGTCCCAATTAAAGAGATTACAGTTCAGTGCAGTTAAACTGAATTTGTAGACTTAATGATAAGCAAAACCACGTGGACGAATTAGAAAAGCATCTGGCAGTGCCCAGGGCTGAAAGTTGGGAATGGGAAATTGATGAAGACAGGACGCGTCTTCCTGTGAGAGGGAATAGAGGAGTCCGGTCCCACGAAATGACCGTCTTATCCAACAAGGTTCACAATGTGTCTCACAGCAAGGCGACACAGGGACGGCAACTTGCGCGTGAATTAGACTATACTGAGAGTAGATTTGTGCGGCATCTACCGCGCTCTCTGCCGCTTCCCCGCTTGGGTCCAGTGTCATGATAAATTTAATAAGACCGGAGGCGATGGAGGGCACATGTGGCTGGCGCGGTCGGAGTAACCCCTAAGTGTGTCCCCCAAGCCTGACTCAGATTCAACAGAGTTAGACTGTCACAGATGCCACCGTAAGAAGCAGCCATTGCCGCCTGATTCTCAGTTAGCCACTCCACACGTATACACACTGTGTTGACTCTGCACGGCCTGAATTACCACATCAGTTGGCAATTTTCAAAGCCATGGTTTTGGTCGTATCGTGGTAGCTTCAAGCGTGATAGATTGTTTATAAAGAGTAAAATGTGTTGAGTCGCCGAGGACACTCTATTCCCGTTCCTAGGCATCAGCCACTGTCCGGGCCGGTCAGGTGACTGGTGCAGGCGATGGGTGTAATTACTGTCTGCGCGCAGAACGTACATGACCTGGCCAGTTAGCTTTAAGGGGTACGGGGAACAATTCACATCGGCAACGGCCATGACTCAGGAACAGAGCACCCATCGAGGATTCCGAGGAGATGTAGCTCAGCAAAAATTCTGGACGTGTGTATTTTTTTATTATCCCTAGTTTGCTCTGGGAAACATGTTAATAGTCAATTTTATGAATGCATATGTTTCGCCGATCTATTAGAGGAACAATTAAGTTCCGCTTTGCCCAGGAGCTCGCAACGCAAACCCACCAGACCGTCACATAGTGGCTAAGATGATATGATGAAGTGGATCTGACAAAGCAAAGGAGACCGGAATGGCCATTTCTGGCTTATTAGCCGGTCATTCCCAATCTCGAGGGTTGAAATACATACATTCATCTTATTCCCGATCTCAACCGACAAAGCAAGGAACCCGTGGACTAGAGGTAGAGTATCGAACTCAATGACCAAAGGTCCCGGGTTCGAGGGTGCCAACCCTCGAGATTGGGTATGACTGGCTAGCAAGCCAGAAATGGCCATTCCGGTCTCCTTTGCTTTGTCGGATCCACTTCAGTCAATTTTATGCCTGAAATTTTAAACGGTCGCACAAAAAGCACTCCGAGTGGAAAGACAGACTGCGTGTAAGGGTGAAACAAAGATGATTATGAAAAATGCGAAAACTAAGCAGGCCTACCGATTGACAGATATCGCAGGAAGAGTGGAAGCAGAAAGCAGGGATCGTAGAGGTCAGCTTGGAGCAGCGTCTTGTCGGCCCTGCCAGACTGAGCCTATAAAAAAGACAAGGGGAACGAGGTAAACAAGTGCACATAACCGCGTGAAAAACAGTCAGATGAGGACACCATCGTGAAAATGAAAATTTTGAGGAACCTAAAAACAAGACTCGAATGCACCAAAAGTGTCCTATACTTGGGGTCAGCTATCTTGGACAGGCAGAATTATTAGGAGGTTTGGCAGATTTGCTTAATTTGAGTTGACCTAATTGTGAGTGCGCAATTTGTTAAGCAAGGCAAAAATACTAGGATAATGACCCTCCAGCCACTTAAAACGTTAGTTCTTGCAAAATAAGTTTGACAACCTTCACGTATACACTTTCTGGGGAACAAACAAACTTGTAGAAACATGAAAAACCAATGCCCAACTACGCAGTGACTAAACAATAATGCGTAGGTGGCCGAAAAAACGCCGACGAAAGCCAACATGTCACCGTGTGTGACCTGATTTAGGAGAAGGTTTCATGCTAATCAGTTTTGCAACCTGTCCCAAGATGGCGCCTTGAAAGAGTCCAATCGCCAGTTTCGTCGTCTACTGCATGTAACCACTCCACCACGCATGTCCTACATCCAACTGTGTTGCATCAACCGAATGAAGTAACGGTGGCATATTTTCAAACAACCTGTTAGCGCCCATGTTGGGCGTCACAAATAAGGTAGAATTGTTGGCAAACAACTGAATGCTTCTTCCCTCCTTCATGTAACTGCGCGGCTAACATTTTGTTCACTTACGACTTTTTAATGAATGGTTGACAGAATCCTCTTGAGTTAACTTTCTATCGTCTCTGCACATTCTTACTTCATATACCTAGGCTTCCGTTCAGTCAGTCGGAAAGTTCAAAAGTAGTTTACTATTCATAATACAGCCTTCGTCTTCAGTCCTTATAAAAACATCCTTTGCTCGAAACAGGAAAGTGACATAACTTTTCACGGAGAATAGGATTCAAATGCTAAATAGGAGCGTAAAACATACCAGACAGCGTCTAGAGACGGGAAAGGCTAAAGCAGAAGCCAGGAGTTTGTCCTTGTCCAGAAGATTTATAAACGCGCTAATGTTTGGCTGACGCCAGAGT